GGATGGGGAGAGGGAATAGTGAAAAGGAAATGCCAGGCTTAAGGTAAGTGCTCCAAAGGGCACCTAGATTCCATAGAGAGAACCTGAGAATAAAACCCACACATGACAAATACTAGCGCCTTAAGATCTACTGAAGTTAGGACTAATGAAAGACTTCACTTGATCTCTTTTTTTTTTATCATCTTTATTGGAGTATAATTGCTTTACAATGGTGTGTTACTTTCTGCTTTATAACAAAGTGAATCAGCTATACATATACATATGTTCCCATATCTCCTCCCTCTTGCGTCTTCCTCCCACCTTGATCTCTTGAGATAGTCTATGAGAGGTGTAATCCTTAAGATCTGCATGGTACTCGCACTGGGCTGTTATAGGAATAGCAGATAATTAAAATGCCAGTAACATTTCTCGAGTGCTTCCCTTGTGTCAGGCATTATTCTGAGTCCTTCACATGCAGTCCTCCCCACTTTACAGTTGAAGAAACTGAGGCAGAGAGAGACATAAGTCACTTGTTCAAGGTTACACAGCCAGAAGTCCAGTGTTCAAACACCAGAGCCAGGATTCAGATCCATTCTGTTTGACTGAGAGCTTGTGCTCTCAGTACACTGCCACTTAGAGGGCCAAGACCAGGGCTCCAGAGTCCCCATGTCCCCTCATCCCTAGAAGATAAATGACTTCGAAGAGTTTGCCGTTTTCGTTTCAGGCAGACTCTGCAATTTTTTAAAAACAAAGTTGGCATAGTTAAAGACATACAATGTACGTATAAAAGTGTATGTCTGAATTTTTAAACTTAGGTTGAGACAGTGCTTATATCTATGTTATTATAAAGCCCTCATGGATACCCTTAATAATGGCTGCACAGCCTGCTGTGTAAATGTGTATTTTCTATTCTTTCCCTTTTGGGTATCTGGCTTGTTTCTGTGTTCTTTTTTTTTCTTTCCCCTTTTTTCTTTCTCTTCCCCCTCCATTTTTAATAACACTGTATCAGTCATCTTATGTATAAAGCTTTGTTTGTTTTTAAAATTTCTTTTTAATGGTAAGGTCCCAAGGGTGAAATTGAATTAGTGTATATATCATTTTGAATTTGTTGATGTTTTTACTAAATTGATTTTGCTAATGAATTATACCAGCTTATACATTATCGTCAATGTGTGAGAAGTACCCATTTCATCGAATCCTTACAAATAGTGTTCTTTTTTTAAAAAATCTAATTTAATAAGAAACTTGACCTCACTTGTAAAATTTGTATTTCTCCCATGCATAGGCTACTTTACATATTCTGCCCAGCATTGATCCTTTTTACTGATGTTTACCTCTAAAATATTTTTGTTTAAAAAAAGTGAATGAGATAGAAGTCGTCATTGCCCAACATTATTAATGTATTAAATGCCACTGAATTGTTCATTTAAAATGGCTATGTTTTGTGAATTCCACCCCAATTATAAAAAACGTGTTTGTGTCTCTGTGTGTGCACATGCAAATGTGTCTGTGTACGCTTAATTGTAAACTCTCGGAGAGCTGCTGTGATGTGCTTGGGCAGGGAGCGTGGGCAGGCTGCAGTCTTCTGCATAATGCTCTTAGAGACTGAGTTGAATGTGTAACGCACAGTTGCCTTTCTTTCTGCCAGTTACGTTGTGCATTGCTTACTAATTTGGGCCTATAATGGATGCAAAAAGGTTTATGAGTAAGAGTGTTTGACCTGCCTTCAAGGGAGGGTATCCTGCTACATGTTAACACACAAGATTTATGTCTGCCTGAGGAACGATCAAATAAGCAGTGCAGGAAACAGAGGGGAAAGATCAACCCAGTTAGGAAAATGGTGGAAATTGTTTGACATTATGAAGGGCATCATATATGTGCCTTATCCTGTGAACAACCAACAGTGGTATGACTGGTAGCTAGAAAACCCTACAGCTAAAGTCTTATCATAAGTGAAAGAAAGATTGCTGGCCAGAGCACACCACTCGGCATGCATATCCTCCAGACCTTGCTGGAGGCCTGGTCCACTTAGTATTGCCCTTTCAGGACGTGTCTTGCTGTCCCAAACAGGATTGCAGTATTTCCCTTTTTTAAAGTCGTCCGCTGATGTCCTTTATGTTTTTCTCTATTAAGATGAAATGATTTTCATATCATTTGTATCAACTCTATTATATTAAGACTATTAACCCTTTGCCATCTGTATTTATTGCAGATTTTATTCCCAGCTTGCTGTTTACTTTTAAAAATGTGGAGTCTGTTTAAATCTCTAAAACTTCTTAATTTTTGTGTTGTCGTGCCTGTCGATTATTTCTTTTGGTCTTAAATCATTCTAAATTTAACCTTTCCCTGTCTAGTAATTGATACTTAATAATATATTTTCTTCAATTAAAAATTTTTTGTGTGTGTCTGGTCTAAGGTAAAGATCTTAATTGTTTTCCTATTCTTACAGGTGAAGATTAGGGTAATTATATGGTTCCAGATCCAGTTTTGGTTTTGATTTGAAGTGTAATAAATTAAAAGTTAATTTGGGAAGAATTGACACTTTTGTGATATTCAGTCTCACCTTCCAAAGGCCTCTTTTACATTTCTTTGTGATACTGTTTTTTTTTTCCATTGGTTATATACATTTTTATTAGAGGTTTTTATAAATATTTTGGTTTCTTATTTCTACTGTGAAAGAGAGCCCTTTGCATATATTTTTATCATTAGTAGTGCCTAGAAATAGTTATTGGTTTTTATATATTTATATGTTTGATCTATTCCTCAAATTTGTGAACGTGATAGCTTTCAGTTGATTCTCTTGGGTTTTCTATGTGTAATCACATGCCTGAAAAAAAAAATTTTTTCCCCCCACTGACTGCACACGTGCTTTGTTTCATTCAGTTTTGCTTTTTTGTGGGATCTAGAAAAATATTAAATGACAGTCTCTTACTCCTATAGGAATAAGAAATGAATATTGAATTTTTTAAGATTTTTTTCCCTTCAATTTCAGATAATCATGATTAAGATAATCATTGACTTATGTAATACATTATTTTGATTTTCTCTTTTTGTTGTCCTGACCCTAAGGAAGATTAATAAGATATTAAGGTTTCACTCAACTATTGCCATTAGCAACAGGTCAGAGCTTCCTTCCGTTCCCTAAGGTAAAGCAGTCTAATTTTGCTTCTGACTAATTTTAACCCTTAAGGGAAATGGAAGAAAACACATCTGTGTTCAAAATGTTGGGGGGGGGGGTCTTCAATTTTATACTTCATTTAGAATGCCCAAATATAAAGCTGAAATAGACCTTTTAATATATGCATAATGTCACATTAAAGTCTTTTGTCCTTTCTGGGAAGAAATCAAAACCTGATTTTTATATTGAGGAAAACAAAACAAGACAGTTTATTGAACTACCTGTGTTTATGAATTAAAGGCCACTTCTTTAACAGTAATATCATGAACTTAGGAATATAATATGTATTTTTTCTTCTTTCGTAATTTAGGAGGATTGAATTTCAAATCATCATCTTTATCTTTCATATAATAATAATAACCATAATAATAATAGCTAAAATATCTTGAGCCCTTAGGGTCAGATACTGGTCTGTGGGATTTTTGTAAATTAACTAGTTTGTTCTTCATAATAACCTGTGAGGAAGGGACTTACTATCCCCTTTTATAGATGAGGAGAAACTGAACACAGAGTAACGTAATTGCCCAAGATTCATTGCTAATAGGAGGCAGAGCTGGGATTTGATTCCAGGCAGTCAGGGTATGAGTCCTTTTGTTTTTTGAAAATACTGTTTTATTAACACCACAGTGGTAAACAACGTTATGCTTAAATTTCTTTATAGATCACACAATTCAAAACCCACAAAGAAGCTAAGAGTCTTTACATTAAATGTGTCCTCCTAAAAATCCTTTACTGTATGAGTCTGTTCTCAAGCAGAAAAATTTGATTATGCACCATTTTCTATTTAATATGTCACATTTACATAGCAAAATAAGGAAGGCACAGCTAACACAAGCAAACTTAAACCCTTTCTACTTCCGAGCTGGGGGTGGGGACACACAGTTGGATTGGTTCTTCAAGTATATATTTTTTCCACACATTAGCTTCCGTGAAGTGTTCTGATAATTTTCACAGCTACATTCTAAAAGCTACAAGACAAAAAGACATCACAAGGATCCAACATAACATTGGATACACATGCTTTACAGAATTTACTAGATTCTACATCTTTTCAAGTAAATTAATATTTCTAAAATGCTAGATAAAGGGATCAATACTTAAACGTTTTTTTTTAAACACCTTTGTAAATAGACACTACCAAGAAAACACATAAACACGAGACTGTACATAATGAACACATATGTTGACAATAGTGTACAGGTTATACACCCTCCTTCTCAGAACCAAATATTCAGAGCAGTCTTTAGAATTTGAAGTGGCAGTTTTATGCGCCTCATTAACAGTACTGTCATGATCGGCACGGGCTTCCTCCATCCCATCACGCTTCTCTGAAGTGTAAAGCTGATGTCTGGGTTACGAAAGCGAAGTCTTAAAGATGAGATTTTTCTTGGGTTCTGATGCTTCTGCGCTGGAAAAATGCAAGACTAAAGAAATTGAAGAATTAGGCATTGAGAACATGTTCGGTCTCGGCTTGGGTGTTCTGTGCGTAGTGTGATGACAGTGTGGTCAGAGGGTTTCAAAGTGACGTTCTTTACTTCACATCTACTTGGCACCCTTAGGAAGTCTCAACTCCAGCCCTCGCAGAAGAGATCATGAAAAAGCCATTTTAAATTTAACTCGTTTACAACACCTTTTGGTATATTGGTGTTCAGATTGGAAACGGGCTGGCCAGAACCTGATTGCATCGATTCAATATGATTCTAGGAATGTCAGAATTGATTCACATTGTACTTTGGTCCAAAACCTGAGCCTTTTCAAGTCCACCGATGTGTAAAAGAAAAAAAAAAACAAACCGGGGTTTTGAATCTGCGTCGTCATTCTCCTCTGCAGTTTCTGCCCCCACTTATTTCTGGGCGTCGTCAGACACTGCAGAGTGGGGACCCTCATCTCTGGCGGCAGCAGCCGCCGCCGCCGCCTCCGCCGCAGGCTCTCCCTCCTCCTCCTCGTACTCTTCATCCTCCAGCTCCTCGTCGTCACCCTCTAAGGTCCACGCACACCCCTCCATCTCACCGGTGAGCTCCTGGATCTTAGCGAGTAAGGGCTTATAGATGTCGTTATACTTCTTCTCCAGAGCCTGGAATTCCTTATCAAATTTGGCTTCTATCTTATCGCACCGCTTCTGCAGCTTTTTGAGGGCCAGGACTCGGCATTTCACCGAGTTAGGCAGGCTCTCGATAAAGTCATTTCTAGGCTTCGGTGCATTCTCTGCAGGCGTCTGGGGCTCCTCGGCCGTCTGACCGACCGCGCCGTCGGAGTCGCCGGACGCGCTGTCAGAATCTCCCCGCTGCGCACCGCCTTCCGCCATTACCTCCTCCGCCGCCGCCGCCTGGCTCGGCTCCGCGGGGCCCTGGTTCTCCGAGTCAGCCATGTTCGCGGAGCAGCGCAGAGGTCTCGGTGGCTCCCGCGGAGAGCTGCCCGCGAGCTGCGATCCTGCGGCAAGCGGCAAGCGGCAAGCGGCACTGACGTCGGCCGCGGCGGGGACGTTGGCGCGGCCCCGCCCTTTGCCCCCGCGGGCGCTTGACTGGCTCCCCAGAATCAGCTGATGGTCGGGCCCTCGACCCGCGCCAGCCAGCCGACCGCCGGTGCTGCGCTGCCGTCTCCCCGCACTGCGGAAGACGTGCGGAGCCGTTTCTTAGCGACCCTGCCCGTCCGCCCGCGCACGCCTCCCCCTGCAGTAGAGCGGGGCTGCGGCCGGCCGCGGGGATCCGCTGCGGGGAAGGGCTCAGCCTTGGCGGTCGTGCTCCTCTAGCCCGCCCAGGGCTTCATCTCCATCCGCCAGTGCGCCTGGCTTGGCGTTTGTCTGCATCTCCCCTTGGCAGGCGTTGGGCTGCCGTTGGCAGGGTGTCTCTGGCTTACTCTTGGGGAGCCGTCTTTAAGCACCTGAGATTTCACTGACTTCTTTACCGGGAAGTGGAGGCGCGGGGAGAGCGGGCTCCATCCCACCCCCTTGACGACCTGGGTGCGTGTGATGATGGGGGCGGGAATAGTGCAGTTTGCATGACCCCCATCACCCCAGCTCCCCCCCCCCCCCCCACCCAACAGCCCCCCTTGGCCCTTTCCCAGACTAGCAGCATATATACTGGTGGCAGGGTCATCTCTCAGCTAGACGGACCCTGGAAGCAGCTTTGGAGCCCTTTGGACAGGGAATCTTGGCACTACGGTATCCTGGAATGTTCTCGGAATGAAGCGGCAGCAGGGCCACAGAAAGCAAGACCGTGTAAGCCCTGAGGCCCAGGCCGAGGGCCCCCTGCCTTCCTGGGCCTGAAGCATGTGTTTAGGACTACCGTTCCTCCGGGACGCGCTGGCGCACACACGCACGCACAGGCATTGTCCCCGAGGCACGTTTAGCACCTGTGCTATGGCTCTTACCGGTGATTCGTGTATGAGAACATGAAGAAAAGCTATTAAATACCGAACTCTTGTTCTCTAATAGCCACGTGAGTAGAGACTTTAGTTCCTCATTTATTAAATCAGAACGATAGCTTCTTGAATAAGGGTAAGGGCACATAGTTTAGGTATGGGACGCAAACCATCTTTACAGGGGTTTTTCAGGAATGGTTTCAAATTCGGCATGACTGATATAAATGCTTTTCCTTCATCAGTTTTACTGGGACTTGCTGAAGCTTTTCCGTAAAACCTGTGACTGTAAGGAAATTACTTCCCTAAGTACACTTGGTGCCGTTTTTTGGTTCTTGCAGATATTAGTTAATAATATGTAAAGCACTTAGTGCTGACACTTGGTGGGCACTTGGTCAGTGTTTTGTTGGCGAAATAAATTGCATTTATTAATCCACAAAGATAACCTGCGATAATAATTCTCTTACAAAAGGACATCTTTGTGCCGCCCATCCCCAAAGAAAGTTACTATTTATAAAAGGCCCAATATATTCCCATTAGCAAACATGCTAGTTTTTTTGGTACTTGTGATTCGTATTACTTACTTTCCTAATTCCATTCCAGATAATTTATTGTCTGCTACCCTGTTAGCATTTGTAATGACTGAGGTTTTTTTTGTTAAATTTCAATCTTAACTCTGACTGAATTTGCTATAATAATATATCTATATTTAGTTGGCTGATCGTATACATATTCCATATATCATGTATGAAATATGTATAGGATCAGCCAACTAAAGCTACATTGAGGTTAGGAATGCTTTTCCCATTTTTAAAAATAAGGAACTTAGAAGCAGAAAAAGAAAGTGAAATAAATATTCTCTGACAATTATGTATCACCTGATTGGCAGAATCGGGCAGAAACCAGGCCTTCAAACTCCTGTAGTATAGAAGCTATGACATACTTTAAAAAGACAAAACAAAAGAAGACCCAAACTTTATTCAAATCAACTTAACTAACTTAACTTGCTTGAGACAGGCAGGGTGTGCCCGTCTTTTAGAATTTTTATGTTCCCATCTTAAAAGAAAATTTTAAACTTCACCTTAAGCTGTGGGGTTCTTGGACTCCTTCATCAATAGAAGCTGATAAGAGGCCAGGTAAGAAATTCAAGCAAGGCTTTATTGGGACTCATGCTACAGCACAAGGGAGCTAAAGCATGTTAACAGTTTCCCTTTTCATTCCTTAAGGGGGGAGGTGAGCAGGTTCCTTATCTGGGGCGAGGGTAGGAATGGGTCCAGGGGTCAGGCCAGAGGGGTAGCTTTGCTGGTCTGCCCAGCCCCTTGGTGGGTCTGTGTGCAGGGGGCATGCGCAGTACCCTGCTTTTTGTTCCTGGTACCCTGCTTTTGCTCCTGGTTCCTCAGAAGTGGGTTTTTGGTCTTTTTGTACCTTGTTCGTAATTTGCCCCAACTGGGCACACATGCGGTTATTTTTAGGCCCTTCTGCTTTCTTTGTATTTTGCTGCTGGAGATGTTACATGTCCAGGTGCCAGCACTGCAGCAAAGGGTCCCAGCCGGTCTCAAGGCTACTCTTTTTTTTTTAAGTCTGTAGTGAGATATAATTTGTTTACAATAAAGTTGACCCTTTTTAGGATACTTTGACAGACATACAGAGTATGTCTGTAAACACTACAGTAATGGAACTGCAGAGCAGTAACCTCATCCCCCCAGATACGCTCCTGGTCTTTCCCTTCCTGCCCGACCTGGCAGCCATTGATCTGTCTCTGTAATTCTGTCTTTTCCCCAGAACGTCACATAAATGGAATCATATGTGTGTAGCCTTTTTCACTCAGCATAATGAATTTCAGATTCATCAGTGGTGTTCTGTATACTGTATTAGTACTTTGTTCCTTTTTATTACTGAGTAGTATTCCTATTTGAGTTATTTCCAGTTTTTTTTGTGATTATGGATAATGCTGCTGTGAACATTCATCAGCAGATTTCTGTGTGAACAGAGGTCTTTATTTCTCTTGGCTAAGTATCTAGAAGTGGAATTGCTGGGTCATACGGTAAATGGGGGTTTAACTTTATAACAAACTTCACGGTGTTTTCCACAGTGGCTGTCCCCCTTCCCTTCACACTAGCAGTGCATGAGAGTTGCAGTTGTTCCACACCGTCACCAGCATTTGGTATTGTTGGTTTTTTTGTCCCCTCATCGCAGAGCTGTGTATGTGTCCATGATGATTAAAGATGTTATCTTCCAGCGTGCTTATGTGTCACTCATATATCTCCTTTAATAAAAGGTCTGTTTAGAGCTTTCGCCCATTTTCTAAATTGAAGTTTTTGCTCATTAATTTCTTAATGTTTTTATATATTCTGGGTACAGGTCCTATGTAAGATATGTGTTTTGTAAATATGTTCTTTCAGTCTGGGGCTTGTCTTTCATTTTTGTAACAGTGTCTTCAAAAAGCAGATATTTAACATTTTAATAAATCCATTTTATTAACTTTTTCTTTATAGATTATGCTTTGGGTGTCATATTTAAGAAATCTTTGCAAACTTCAAGGTCGTAAAGATTTGGTCTTATGTTTTCTTCTGGAATTTTTACAACTTAAAGTTTCACTTTTAGACTCCGATCCATATTGAGTTAACTTTTAAATAGGTGTCAGGTATAGGGATATATACCTTTAGCATATGAATATTCTGTTGATGCAGTACGACTTCTATTGAAAATACTATCCTTTCTCCACAGAATTGCACATTCAAATTTGGTAAAAATTAACTGTCCATGTACATGTGGATCCATCTCTGGACTTTCTGTTCTGTTGCACTGATTTATGTGTCCTTTCACCAATACCACACTTGATAACTGTAGCTTTATAATAATAAGTCATGAAATTAGGTAATTCAAGTTGGCTAACTCTGTTCTTTTTCAAAATTGTTTTGCTTTTCTAGTTCCTTTGACTTTCTATATTAATTTCAGAGTCGGTTTGACAAGCTTTTAAAAAGACCCTTACTACAGTTTGGATTCAGACTTCTGAAGACCCTTGGCAATGCATATAGTGCCTGCTTTTTAAAATCTGTGTGTTTAAAAATTAACCCATTAAGAGTTGTCTCATTTTATGGGCTTTGTGGACTCTAGTGTACTGTGGGGCTGCAAGTAACACATAGCTGTGAATAGCACGATGCGCTGTCACGCTGTGAAGTCCTTATCTTGGCATACTGTAATTTCTCACACAGCTGTCACATTGGAAGCAAGCAAAGTGGGGTAGGGAGGGCACTTTGATGAGGTGGGGTTGAGAGCACAGGTCTGTACTCAGACATCTGGGTTCAGTTTCTGCCCCTGCCCTTATACTAGTTTTCTTGAATTCAGTTGTGAAATTGGAATAATGATCACATCAACTTCAAAAAAAGTTGTATTTTCTTGACTGCTTGTATATTTATTGAGTCACAATTCTTATACCATAAAGTTTACTCAAAAGGTGGCCTTGAGTATTCACTGAGATAGCATGTATCCAAGTACTTACTGCAGTGACTAGCACCTAGTAAACACTCCGTAACTGTTAATGATCACTATTAAAGACAAGAATGTGGTGAGAGCAATACTAATTGACAGAGATTAGAGTCTGTGTATTAGTTTGTTGGGGCTGCTGTAAAAAAATTACTACAGACTAAGTGGTTTAAACAACAGGAATTTATTGTCTCACAGTTCTGGAAGCTAGAATTCCAAAACCAAGGTGTTGGCAGGGTTGCATCCTTCCGGGGGCTGTGAGGGAAGGAATTACTCCAGACCTCTCTCCTCGGCTTGTGGATAGCTGTCTTCTCCCTGTGTCGCTTCTCATTGTCTTCCCTCTGTGCAGGTCTGTGTGCACATTTCCGCCGCCCCCCCTTTTTTTAAAAGGCTCCTGGTAAAGCATTTCTTTATTTTTTAAATTAATTAATTAATTTTTATTTTTGCTGCTTTGGGTCTTCATTGCTGCACGCAGGCTTTCTCTAGTTGCAGTGAGTGGGGGCTACTCTTCATTGCAGTGGGCAG